TGGACGATTCTTTTAAGTGCCCAAAAGGAAACCAGCCACCAAGGGGTCCGGAGTCTTTAAGCACCTGGGCTGCTTGGACCCCAAGCCCAGGCCCGGATGAAGTCACAGCGGTCCATGGTGCCGAGATCCACCTGTCGGTTGCAACTGTGCCATGTCATCTTGACGGAGACGTCGCCTTTGGAAGCCATGACTTTGCAAGCCTGGTGAATGCAAAAAAGAAACTCGAGCGGGGCGTCGAGACCGCATGCGCAGATTGGATGGCAAACAACTGGAGCGTGTTGGGAACCAAGACTTAAGCAAATGAAATGACAGGGAAACAGATCAAGGGATTAGTAAGCAAAGACTAGGTAGAACAACTGCCAATGCGCTTTCGTGATATTGGGGAACCCGAAGAACCCTGTCAAAACTGGAGTGGATTGCTCAAGTGGTTGGTTCACATTTGCTGCCCCTGAAAAACAAGCGAAACCAGAAATGCTAGGAGCCATTTTTGGGTTCACAGGCTGCCGCGTTGCTGAATAGAAGGCGTGAACAGAAGCCACCACAAAAAACAACCAGCAGCCCAAGGGTACTCATGTTGACATGTACTCCTGTGTTTTGTGGCTCAAAGCTTTGCATTTGGGAACTGTTTTAGGAGCTGGTACGGATCTTCACATCCTGGTGACCCTTATCAACTTGTCCTGCACATGTTTGGCCTAAATCCAGTCCGAGAGTTTTATGCAGATTTTAACTTGTTTTTTGCCAACAGGCAGGCCTGGAGTACCGTCCGAAGGGGGAATCAGGCAACACGCCAAAGGGAAGCGCTATCAACTGGTAAGCGTCAACTCAGTATGAGGGAGCTGAATCTGCATGGTCTGAGCGAGACCAGGCTGGTCTTCTTTGACAAGGTGAAGCGGGCCATGGTCAATGGCTGTTTCAACAAATATTTGAACCTGCTCAATAGCTCAACAATCAGGGGCATTGAGCGCATTCCAAGCTTACGCTCGGCCGGGGAGAATGCACGATAATTCCAAGTAGATAAGCCTGAGTTTGCTGATAGTCGAACTTACCCGTGTTGAACACGGGGCCCCTTCTGCGGATTCGTTGAGGCACAACGAATTCTCATTCATCACCGGATTCTACTTCTCTAGGTCCTCCAGTAGAGGTGTTAGAATAAGGGTACCCTTTTGTCTGTAGTCTATTTTAGTAGGGGAACCCTCCCCCCAATGGGGGACCTAGAAGATGAGTACGACCCCACCTCAGGGCACTCCACGTCATCTGCTGGCTTCTCCTTGGGCTTCTCCTGACGCAAGCGAAAACATGGCGAAAGCCCGGAACTCGAAAGGGGGGGGGGTTGGCTTGCAAACTGTTCGAAGTGACCAAGACTACGGTGCAGGCACATCCCGCTATTTTCAACGTGCGGGTAGCCCTTAGTTGGTGGTTTAGGGTTTCGAACCCCTGGTTCTTTGAGGGTGGCCTTGTGAGGCTGAGATCAAAAGGAAGCCGGAACAGCAAAACAGCATTTTTTTGGACCCCGCGATTTCAACACATAAACACAACGATCATGGAGTTCGATGAGTCCAGCTGAAGCAACGAGAAAACACGCATGGCCTCATTGAACCAAACGCAGCCAGGATCAGATGTTACGATTAAATTGCCTGACGAACAGCACAGCCATACCCAAGATCTAACGGCAACAAACAGTTGAGCCAAGACCCGCAGCTAGACGTGTTGCAATCTAGACGTGCAATGATGCACGAGAAGTATGTTTACGGGCGAAGCATGCTTCAATGAGCAGGCAGCCACGTGAAAATTCGGGCCACTGGAAAACTGGCCCTCATGGGCAACACAGTTGTCTATCAAGCACAGGCAGCTTCAATGACATCCCTTGTGAACCAAACAAGGTATGAACATGTATATTTATCAAAATGAAAGACTACCCCCCTTCTTAAGGAAGGGCCAACTAGTTCAAATGCCTGCGATGGTTGCATGTCGGACACACACACACACACACATGCGAGCTGATGCACGCTCTGCAATATCAAGGCGCGAGCTTCTTCCAGCTTGGCTATCGCACGGGGCATGACAAGGCTCGGCAAAGACATTGCACTGACATGTAGGCTCAACCACTGGAACCATGCTGCGTGGGGAAGAGTAAAACTGCTACATTATGCGTTCACTAATTAAGCCAAGCAAGGCCGGGCAAATGATGCCAAATTGGACTTGGAATTTTCAAGTGTCAATTGAAAGCTGAGAAGCGCTGACACTGGTCTGGCCTCTTTCTTCTCCTGACGGTTGGGTGAAACGAATGAAGGAACATGCATTCGATGTGCAAAGGCTGGGAACAAAATGGAAGGATAGACAAAGGAGAGCCCCCTCTGAACTTAGGCTGCAGATTGATGCCACACAAGGCTCAAGGAAACATTCCGATGGTAGTGGGAAAGACTCACTCAGGCTAGTAAGTACTGTAAAACTTAACTGCAAACAGCTCGAACAATTCTTGCATTGGATTCGCTGATGCTGTGGTCTTGTTGACGACCCAGCACGTTGACCCAAAACACGTGTCAATATGCCATGGACGCAAATATTGCAATGTCTAAAGTAAGGGACCCTGGCGTAATCCCCAGATATGCCATGGGCTGGAAACTATGGCCATCGCGGGGAAGACACCATGTCCGCCCTTCCTTTACAAGTAGGAGTTGAAGTAGAATTCAACTATAAATTGAATTGGATCTAATAAGGCAAAACAAGCTGGTTGCTTCTTCCAATTTGCCTCCCCCTCAAAAGAAGAAACGCCAAGCGACAAACCGTACAAGAAACAGCAAACACCTCGAGAGAGCAAAACAAACTCGAGGAAACCATAATACTACAAAAACTTCGAGAACACCAACGGCAAAAGAACAATGTGTTCTGTCAACATGAGCTGTTGTCCAAAGAGTTTCCAATTCAAGCTCTTTTTGTTTCTCAATCATTTGTTGGGTTTTCTAAAGCTGCTTTCTTGTCTTCTGGTTTTCTGTAATCTGTTTTGGTTTTGCTTGTGCTTGTCAAGATGCTTCCCCTGCATTGGTGGGCCTTTGGCAATTGACCAGCTTGACCCACTCGAAGACTGCAAGTCCCACAACGTGCAAAACACGCACTAACAGGGTCCCCTGTTCTGAATCATTATATAATGGTTGCGTAATTTAAAAAATGAGTTTGACACAGACTTATACGGACGCTGACAGCAAGCGGAAGGTGTCATGTGTTTGTGTCGCTGCAGGTGTACGGTGCCAGGACAACACCGTAATTTATCCATATGAACTCTTTGAGCGCTGATTGGAATCATCTAGGAGATGGCCAAGGTGATCCTCTCCCCCCCGGAAGAGCAAACATTGAACAACAAACTCTGGCAATAACATAACAAGAAGGGCACAACAAGAACGCGTAGCGCTCTTGCCCAACAAGGGGCACAAGGGGCAAGAGGGCACAACTCAGGAAGAGTAACCATTGAACTATTGGTCATTCCTGCAATGGGGCACACTCGAGGCCAGGGATGCAGTGTCTGCCTCCCATGCCATCAAAGAAAAGGTCGCAACTTGTCCTGCCTGACTTCAACAAAGCTTGAAAGGGCCAGTATGTGTGCAGCTGAGTCAGCACTTGGGACTCTACCGGTCAGGTTTCATCCTTTTGGACGTATTATGACTTGCGCAACAATAAACCAACCTTCTGCCAAATACAGCATGTAATCCGGTAGTTTAGTTGGCAGAAGCTCGCTTCGTTGTTGTGGTAGTCTTGATTCATATTCATATGAAGTGACTGTTTTTCAGTGCCCCGGCGCCGCATCACACATTGGTTGTTTAATTTCTATATACATTGACATGTATACTGTATACATATACAATGTGTATGACCATTCAACGAAAGTGTTCATCCTGGGGCATCTCCTACATGGCCCTCGACTCAACTACGTCAACCCTCTTGTTCTTCGGGTTTCAGCCGTACTTCCCCAGCCTGGCCGTCCTTCTCATCTCCAGTGACGTCGCCCTGCCGTCTGAGGATGGCTCTTGCTTGGACACAAACTTGGCGCCATTTTTTTTTTGCCGGCCTTAAAGAGAGAAGTGCCCGCATGACGGCTTCAACTGTAGGGATTGATGTCTATCTGTGCCTCACACAGATAGACACGAGTAGACACAAATCGCAACTCTGAAGCCTCGATGCATGGCATACCCTCACAAGGGACACCAATGCGCCACTACCATCCGGCCATCGGGATTGAGCATTGATTTTGGACAAGCCACACCTCGTTCTAAAGCTGGCGTTTTCAAAAAGGCGGAGGGTAGAACCATCAGCAAATCAATGCAACAAGGCTGCTTGTTCCCAAGCTGGACATGCACGAATCCGGACATGATCTGCTATACCTCTTGTTGGCGGATGCGGTGGTACAGACACAAACTACTGCCTTCCCGAAATATGATGCTGACACTTAAGAACCAAGCCCGCGGCCCGCCTTCTCGCTATCCTTTTCACTGTCCTTCTCGCTGTCCTTCTCACTATCCTTCTCCTGGCTGGTAGCAGACTAAGCAAGTTTGGGCCAATCGCTTGGTTGAAGGTGCTCAAACCCCTGCATCAACAACCTTCTTTGGCTTGCCTTTAAAGCGACTAACCCAGAATTGGCAGACAATTCTCGTGAAGTGGTGCGCAAGTGCCGACTGCACAAGGAAAAGCATAATCTTCAAGGCATATCTTGTCAAAGTGAGGCAGCGGTTATGTGTGCAACATCCGTCTTCTCTGTCTGATGTGTCGAGCCAGTGTGGACCGTTCGCGCGATCGAAACACGGAACATGTGCGTTGCGTCAGCTGGTGGCCATTCTTGACATTGCCATAAACACCTGCAACAATGCTATCCAGGAATCCATTCTGCGTTGGACAAACATATTCACGCTGCGACAAGGTGATCACCAAATTATGGTCGGACAGGATGGCACAAGGGCAGAACGACACAATTGTTTTGTCACACAAAAACAACAACAAAGGAGTAGTACACATCAAGCGAATTCTCCAACTCTGCACCAGTCTCCCGGCGAGTTTGTGGCCTCTTCGCTCTCAGACTCTTCACTCTTGTCATCCGCCTTGTCCTGGGCGGTGCTCGACAGACCCTCGTCTGCGGTGCGGAGTCATCAAAACTTATTCAACAGGTCGAGAAATCGAACGGCCGCACCCGTGGTTCGGACCATCCCAAATTTTCATCTATAGCCGGGATTTGATTGCTCACTTGATGAGGCAAGAGAGACCAACACCGAAACATTCGACAAATAAGTCTGCTGAGAACAAACTCTCTCAGCCAACCAAGCACGATCGGCCTTGGAAAATATGAATCACCCGGGACTGCTGGTGTTCATGTCGTGACGCTTCGCACATTTCCCCGTTTTAAAGTGCTGCGTCGAGCATGCCGGTGGCGCTAAGCCGCTTTCACATCAAGCATGCAGTTCTCAGCAGTTGTCAACCATATTACTATTCGTAATGACTCGTGTGGATCATTTGCCCCCTGCCTTCTCCTCCTTCTTCTCTCCATCTTCATCTTCATCTTCGTCATCATCGCCCTTCTGGTCCTAGCCGAGGAACTCTATCTTGGATGAACACCCACGAACGCCTAGCTGATTGATCAGGGTGTCGCGGTCCTTCACTCTTCGGGGAACACTCCCAATTCACGAGATTGATGAATCATGGAAAACAAGGACATTGACACAAGCACGAGCATCCCACAGGAGCACCGCCTCTCAAATTCAGAGACTGACATGCACAGCTGTAAGGCTGTAAAAACACCACAGCTCGGTGTTGTCTTCCCACTCTGCTCAAACAAGGCTCGCTAACGAAGAAGCAATCCGAGCGGTGCGAACATCCAGAGTCGCATGCCTTCCTGGGAACTTCTTTAAGTCCTCCGCTGAATGAACCAAGTTATGAAAAGCCGTACTTGGCACTTTTACACTTGCTCTAACACTCCGTCCAAAAAGGAAGGGAATATGTCACACAAGTAGTCCCTGCTTATCCGGGGGTGTCTCTAAATGGGGGACTTGTTCCAGCTGACCGCCCCTTAAAAACCGCCCAACAAACCAACAAGGACATCCACGAAATCAAAGCCATGTGTTACTTGAAGGTATCCAAAAGAAGGCCAGCCATTCAGCCGAGAAGGCGCTTCGGTTCAGGCCTCCAATGCCGTGCGGGAGTTGGAATGGAGCGATTCCAGCATCACGAGGTCCGGGTTCTTCTTCCCCTCGTGATCCTGATGCGTAGGCGACTCACCTTTTTTCTGCTGGGGTTTGGAAAGTCATGGAGCAGCAACTTCGACTGAAACCGCGACAGAAACACTAAGCAAGTCAAAATGAACTCCTGGGATCACCCGACCCGCTCCCACGACTTCACTCTTGAGGGTACAGATCCCCACCTGCCACTCCCAAATCCTACAAGTGAAGCTCTGAAATTCACCGAGCTTTGCAGAGGAAGCATCCGGTTTTTCGCACATCTGGAAACTACGATGCTTTGTAGTTCTCGTTTCTCCGGGTTTCCTTCCGCGGTCGTACGGAAAGGCGCCGGAAAGGGAAACCAGGCGCAAGCGCCTTTGAAATCCACGCGCGTTTTTTTCCCGCAACAATCTGGATCAAAAAACCAGGTTTTCGTTTTCGTTTCCAGCTACTTTTGTGTGGGCCGGCTGTTGGAGTGACAGGCATTGTGTTATCAGCATTGGGCCCTGCCTCCTTCTCCAACTGCCTCATTCGCTTGTACCTGAGGCCAAGACCCCCAAAGGGGCCGAATAGCTTTTCAAAGTTTGGTTGCTTGAGGGTTAAAAGGAACTTCCCCCCTTGTCTCGTTAGAATGCACTTGGACCCTGAACCCCTTAGGGAATGAAACTCTCGGCTGTCTCCGTCTAGTTGGCACCGCTGCATGTCGGTCTCGCCGAAGAGTATGATGGGCCTTGGCACTGGGCACGTAACGGGGGCAGCAGAAAACCCTTGACAGTGTCCGGCGCAGCCTGGGTGAAGCCATCCGAGCGCGAAAGGCCGTGGTGAGTAAACAATGCAAGATGTGAGTCGTAAGCCAGGACGCCAGAATCAGATAATCACCCAAACAAAAAGCACCAGTCTGGAAAGCTCATGGTCGTGCTTGCTCAGGAAGCATTGCTCTCGGCGTGCTAGCTTGGCCCCAAGCCTGAGTAAAATCCAACAAGGAAGCTGCAAATGATAATCAACAAAGTTGTTTTCATAAATATTTTGAAATAAATGAATTGACAAAACATACAAAAATAAAATAATTACTTATTGAAACACCTGGTATGGTTTTACATTAATTGATTTGAACAACTCACCAGGACGGATCAATTGATCGAGGAAATATTTAGGGGTTTTGCAATAATTTTGGATCAATTGATCGATCTAGGCCCGTTGTATGGTGCTAAGTTTAGCAAACCGCACAATTTCTGCTCTAATCACTTGTGGATTTCTCGGCTATAGACTCAGGAAAGGTTAAAATGCCCTTACTTCCTGAGTAGATCGCCCCTAACAAAGTCTAAACTTTCTGTTTAACAACATTACCACCACCATGGTCTTCCTTAAACACATATACAGTCCAGAAACTCGGGAAGCGAGTGCCAGAATGCTCAGGAATATGCGATATGCGTTCATTTGCATGGCCGGCTTACTGTAGCCAGGTTCAACGGGAGCCAGATCCGCTGGCTCTTGGAGCTAGCGATTCAGCTTGACCTGCCTACCCAAACTTCATGGGAGTGGAAAGGGGGTCGTTCCAAGATGATGGTAGTCTTCCAAAAGGAACCTGTTCCACGATTGGTTTGCAGGGTAGCAAACTTCGAACAGTTTGCGCCACCCTGCATGCCAAAAGCTGCGTCCCTTTCGCTAGGTTCAGAGAGTAAAACGCCTTGCCATTGGCATCTGAAGCACCCGCAAGTTCATGAACTCGGCTCAAGACATTCACAAGAAACGGAGCTGCATTTCGGTGTCGCCAACGAAAAACAACTGCTGGCGGGCGGCTGACACATCTCCCTGAACCGGGTGATGATGTCCTCCACCGACAGAGGCGGCCTCGAGTCTGAAGGGAAGCCTCGTGCTCGAGGGTTCCATTTGAAGGAAAACCAAAGGGAACACCATGGGCGTACTCCATGTTTAAGACACACACACACACATGTTGGGTCCAAGAGGACGACGTTCCTCTCAAGTGCCTTCGGGGCGCCACTGTATGTAGGGAAAAAGTGCACGATTCCCATCTAGTCACCTCATGTCCGAAGTGCAGTAGAGGGATGACAAATCTTAAATGGGTGCAAGTCACCCTTCCATATAGACTGAATGAGCACCTTGGCAGACCATGTTCTGCATCAAGGATCGCAAAAGGACATGCGTTCAGCTTCTATTGTGTTGCTGTTGGTAGGCTCCAGAAACTAGTAGCCTTGCTGTGCGGCTTTGTATGACGATTGTGGGCAGCAGACAAGATTGTGATTGTCATGGATGAAGTAACAGTGCTTCCCAGATTGGTGTCTGTCATCTCCCAGGCTCATATTTGATTCAAGCCCCGCTCTCTGCCGAACTTGTAACTGCCAGTGCGATCTGCCAGCCTCACGACTGGAGCATTTCTGGGATCCAGGTCATGCCCCGTGTCATAGCATGATCTGAGAAAGTGACATCAAGCTACATGACAATATTGCAGCTGGTGACCAATGGGCAAAACTCTATGTGAAGAAATATCAATTTGCAGCAACTGGGTGACACCATCCATGCTGAGGCGCCATCTTTGAACATGCAACCGTCGTGGCCTCGTCGTTGGCCTCAACCAAAACTTCATTCCCACCTTCCCTGGGCTCCGCGCTCTGCATCGTCATCCGCAAGCAGGGCTTCATCTAGCAAATGCGCAGGAATCTCCTGTGAACAAAAAGGCGAGGCCGTAGACAAATCTGGGCAAACTACTATTACTCACAAACCGGAAAGAAGGAACCCCCAAGCTCCTTCATGGTTGTGAGCTCTTTTAGGCTAAGGTGAGCTCGTTCCAACTTGCTCAAATGAACACTTGACAGACTTCGTTTGACCAGGGCCTCAAGTGTGCGCGCATGTGTGATGCCTTAACGAAAAACTGCACGCTGCACCTGTGTTGCTTGAGCTGCACAGCCAAACACTGTGCAAGTGACAGCGATGAATCGAGCTGAAGAAGCTCGGCGGGTCAGGCCGAGCTCCGGGTCCTTCTTGCTCTCTTGGTCCTTCTGACCCGATTTGGTGAAGTGCCTCACCCGGTGCGCCGAGGGACAAGCATGGCAACACACGTGATCCGGCTGGCCAGTTGCTTTGATGAGCATCCCTATGCATAAGCCAGCTCTTCGCTTCAGTTCTGGGTGCTCATGGTCAAATTCTCCTATGTCCCCTTAAACGCCACCCAACCCAAAAGCAACCAAAGCATAATGTTCAGATCGCCCAAAGCGCAATTTCCCCACCCAGGGAAAAGCCCTAGCAAACCGACTTCCCAGTTCTAGCACTCCCAGTTCTAGCACAAGCTTGGAGTGACTTCAACCTTCTCACACTTGCGCAACCCTCGCGCAAGTTGCGGTCCGAACAAACTCCGGGGCGAACCATGGACGTACTTCTTGGTTGTTCGTGGCCAGACTTTGGAAACACCTTCTCGGGGTCCGAAAAAACCTCTGCAGGCTGGTGCTTGACACCTCCGCATCGTGTCTTGGCATGAGGCGAACTGGCCAGCTACTGTGGGTGGACGAAATCCTGCACCACTTGGAAACCATGGGAAACCATTGTTTTTTGGTATTCATAAGGGAATCATCATGCCAGGGATTCTTAGGTGGTGCGAAATGGATTTGGTCAACACACAGTATTTCTGCTCCTTTCCCTGGAAGCGAGAGAGGCTTCTGGGGCTTCGGACTCTTCCAGCTTCTTCATCCTTGCTTCCTCATCTGCCTCTGCCCAGCACCGCGCGAAGGGAAGCAGACTTGAACATATGATTTGTGACCCACGGTGTAGGCTAAGTCAAGGGAAGCCCAATTATTTTTTTGTGCGATTTAGATACGAATTTGATATGATTGGCATTTATGTTTTTGATACGCTGGTTTTACGTTTTCTTTACACCTTTTTGCTTCTCACGTTTCCTTTGATTGAGATGTTTGACCCTCTGGCAGGATGATTGGGTTCCCACCAGGCAATCCCTGGGTGTTGTGCTGCTGGGGCAACAGGGCTTCAACAATTTGTACCCCTGTCCACTGAGCGTGACATGCTAGCTCATGAGGAAGCAGCCATCGAGTGACCCTTTGCCCTCAGGGAAGCAATGGGAGTGCAAGTTGTTTGTCGAAACTAATCAATTACTAGTGTGGTATCTAAGCGATCTTTGTAGGTAGTAGCAAGCGTTTGGAAGCTTTTGCACTGTTGGGGGCAGTGACGGCTGTTTGAAGCTGCAGGCGCCAAGCCAAAGTTGGGGGAGGGGGCCAGAAATTTCAGGGGTTGTGGCCCAAGGGACGGGGTTCCCCCGGCCTGTTTCAGGGGGTCCTGCTGTCAGGGAATTGGAAGTCGCAAAGAAATCGTAATAAAAATGGAAATCGTATTTAAATCGTATTTAACTCGTATTAAAATCGTATTTTTTACGATTTTAATACTGTTTTAATACGATTTTAATACGATTTTAATACGATTTTTTGCACCCCCTGCTTTCAAGTGCGAGAACTTTACGCTTTTGGGAGAGGGGGGGGCTGCGCAAGGGGGGGTTCTTCCTACATTGCTTTTCGTTGCATCTTTGACAAAGAGGCATGGATGGATCTTACAGTAGGCAGGACTGCTTTTCAGGTCACCCATTCAATTGTGTGTTTCTGCATGGAGGTTAGGCCTGACAAGCTAGCTAGCGCTGCATTGCTTTTAAGCACGCCCAATTGAGGTCAAGGTGGTTCGGGCGTAAACTGTGTACAGGGTAAGATGCGTTTCTTGCGGCTTCAAGAGGGCATCTGGTGAGCTTGCGCGTGTGTTGCGAGAATGCAAGCTGTCTTCACTTATGAACATGTTCTGGTACCAGGAAGGTCATGTTGTCAACTTCAGGGAAATGTTGGGGTAGCAAGCGCTTTCCAAAACTAGTGTTTCCAAGGTGTAAAAGAAACGCAAACAAAAACGTAAATGTTGCAGGAGTCATATTGAAATCGTAAATGCGAATCGCAAAAAAAGGTAAACAACCCATGAAAAAAAAAGAATCAAGAAAACGCCAGTAGGCTGACAGCGTAGGTCACAACATATGATGGTGATGCGGGGTTTTGTCCTCCAGGTCTATGAGCAAAGGTGTGATGTAAGCTTTCAATATAATATGTACAAAACATACGCATGTGTCCAAGCAACTGGAAACACCACTGCGTGATCAAACACACATCCTAAGTGCTCATACACAGAAACACACACATACACACACTCGTGCCAGTGGTATGCATCAGGTACCCAAGCAACTCGCAAAGCAAGTCTCGGGGAACCGGTATTCTAGATGATCACTGCTGATGTTTGCAACCAGCGCCTTCCACTTTTCCTCCTCACGCTTCTTCTCGGCAAAATACTCCTTGCGAAAGGACTCGGCGCCGAACTTTCGTAATGCTTCTTGCAGGACGTGGTCGTGGACGAGTTGTGTCAAATATGGTAAAGGGCTACTCTCTGTCCTATCATTGAAGTAGACGTTTTGTGGGTTCCCTCAGAGGAACGGTGCTGTCAGATCCCTTCATTGTTGGCGAGAGGGTAATCGACCGGTTGTCGCCGCAAGCTGGCGGATCATGCCACATACTCAATGCCGCAACTGTCCCCCAAGAAAGGCCAGAGCCCCACGACGTACACCGCAACATCCGCAAGCAATATCATTTGGACAGTAGCACTGGGCACAAAAGTTAAGCCAAAGACATCGCGCACGTTCCGCCAGATTCCAACATTGGGCGATAAAGGGCATATGTTTGGGAATACATCCGCCTTCTCCATGCCTGTTAACGCAGCAAGCAGCTCCTCTAGTCTTTTTGCTTCAAGCTCACTTCTTTTGATCCACCTCGGTACGACCACACCCGATGTGTTGAGACATGGCTTTCTGTTCACAGCCACTTCATGCCGCATAAAGAAGCATGGCACGCATTCAAAGGACCAAAGCAATCAGATGCTACTCGGACAACCACAACTTCCAGCAAAGCTCCGAGGCAGCCATCAGCTAGACTTTGCAAAATGGACTTACCATGCAGCCCCCATTTCTGCGTTGATTGATGTGGCAATAACTCAAGCAATAGCTGGTACCGCATCAACCAGTCCTCCGGTTGAGCGGCTGCCGTGCCCCCCCCCCCCCGCATGTCGATTGTTGCGGCTCCTTCATTTGAAACCCTGACGGTTGTCCACATCGATAATTCCTCTTGTCCTTGAAGAACTGAGCCTCCCAAGAAACCCTGTCTCTTGACTGGGCCCAAAGAATGAACCTTCCGGCAACAGCCCAGCTACCCTCCCTCCCAACCATGGGAGCAGACAGGAAGGGCTTGGGACGACCACCGTCCTCTTGACAAGGGCCCTGTCCAGATCCCAGATTTGTGGGCTGCCCTCAAATCCCCCGCTAAAAGTTTAACTTTTAGTGGGTCAAATGGAAACCCCCACTAAACACAAAAAGTCTAAAAAGCCCAAGAATTCTAAGAGCCCGGCTTCTGGCCAGTCTCGGCGATGGTCTTCTGCGCCTGGCCACGGCGCAAAGAGGCGCAACGACGCGTTTCGCGCATCTGCGGATTCGCATCTGCGGTGTTTGTGTTGCCTAAAAACCTTTTGGGGCTTGGTTTCAAGGGAAACAAAGGAAAAGAAGCGCATTCTCAGGGTTCCTGTATTTCGGGACATCCCTTCAGATTCTGTAAAGTAAACAAAGGCAGGTACGCTGAACAAGGGGTTTATCGACTTCTGGGCCTTGTTAGTCTCGCCCAGGTTGGCCCTTCAAATGGTAAACCTTTGTACCCCAAAGAACGACACGACCTGGTAATCTCCTTTTGGGCTCCTTGCGTTTTTCACACCGATGGTAAAAAGGAACCCTTAAAACCACCCGCGCCTTCGCTTGGCGCTCCGCCAGTGCGGACTTCAGGAGGTCCATGGGCTAAGCGGGCGCGGGCAAGGGCATGGCAAATTGGTTGAACGCAGGGGGTGAAAGTAAACTTGGTTGGTTTGGAACGTTTGGACGTATCCTTGCTTGCTTGGATTGAAACTTGCCTGGTAAATGGGTTGAAAGTATTCGTTGGGTTGAACGTTTGGTTGGCTTGGACAGGTAGTGAAAAAAAAACAAGTTGGTATAGGGAACACAAAACTAGCGGATTGCAGCAACTCTGTTTCTCGGTGGCTTGGCTTTTGGCTATTACTGCCATAGAATAGGGAAAAACGTAGACGCCAAGGCCAAGTCATAGGAAGGGTTCGCTTTGGGGTTGACTCCCCTTTCGCACAGTTAGGCAGTCTTCGATAGTTCATCCCGCTGTGGTCTTCAGCTTGAGGCTGCCTCAATTGCAGATATGACTTAGAGGTAAAAGTGTAAGGACTTCTACTCAAAAGCGATGCAATATCAACCGACAAGCGAAACAATGCCTGGGAGGTCCATGGAAAAACAAACTCTCAATTGGCGTCTGTTGATGTTGCCATAATGTGTGGTAACGCAGTTCATAGACTGAAATGTCTATATGCTTGGCTTGACTGCTTGAGTTCAACTAGTAGACTAATGGGTTGGCGAACAAGAAACAACTTTGGGTTCTCATCACCACCCCCACCGTCACGCCACCACCACCACCACCACCACCACCATCAGCATCATCATCATCATCGCCATCATCATCGTCGGTATCATCATCGTCGGTATCACCATCACCATCACCATCACCACGCCTTCTGATAGAACTCATCTCAGTGAATGCGTGGGATCAGAAACTGCCAACCAACGGCGGGTGGCGTCCAAATAGCTCAAGTCCTCATTTCTCTTGGTGGTGCCTTGAATGCCTCTCCTGGAAACTGCGGCGCGGTTCCTGTTGCAACTAGACTCAGGCTTTGGATGGGCTCGTGTGAATGTGCCTTTCCCGAGTTGTTTCTAGTTCCCCAGAGAGCTGAAAGCTGTAGGGGTTCTAAGTTCTGATGAAAAGGGGAAAGTGACTTGCGAGAATGATGGCCGGGTGCTGGGGGGCATGCAGGGGTGCTGCTTGCGGTGCTGGTTGAGGTGCTGGTGATGGCGCGAGCGCATTTTTGTCTGATTGATGGCGGGTGCTAGGGGGCATGCAGTTTGGGTGCTGGAGCAGGTGCTGCTCTGACGGTGCGGGCGCAGTTTTGCGAGATTGACGGCAGGTGCTGGGGGTGCAGGTGCATTTTTTTGCTATCTGGGGTCTATGCTGGTGTATTTCCTAAAGTAAAATTATAGAAAGGGAAACCGCCCTTTCCTCCCCCACTCCCTCACCAAGACCTATCCATATAGTCATTTTAGGAGCCAGCGAACCATTCAACTACAAGGCTCGTCAACATGAAGAACGTTACAACCGATTACAACCTCACAAACCAGCACCTCCTGTAGGAGAAAATAACCACTGTGTGCCATTTAGTACCTGGTGGCTCCTAACATATAGACAGTCACCCGCGAGCTACAGCTCATCCACCTCGGCCGCAATTCAATCCAAAGGCAAAAACTAAGCAAATGTTCAACCAACAAACGTGTTGCCAATGAGTTGCTTGCACTAGACCGAGCAACACCGTTCAAACTGAGCATCTTCGTGCCTCGAAAGAAGGAAGCCCTCATCTTGCGGGGTGAATATCTAACGAGGTCTAGCTTCCACAGTTGCGCATCTCTGGCAGCCGTGCACTCAGAACATCTATCAACGCCTCGTACTTTTATTGCACAGCTCGCAGCGGGCCGTCTATGATTTAGACGGAACCTTCGCTAGGCAAACTCGCTGTCTGCTGTCCGCTGGAGGCAGTTGCACCCAGGCAACATGATAACATCCAAAAATATCAACATCCAAATTTGCCCTCTCCCAAACTTGGAACCAAACAGCAACCAAATAACTACACCAGGATGACTCATGCAAATCTGTGATCCCTTGGCCGTTTCCCTGCGCATTTTTGTTGGCAAAGCGCTGCCGGGTGAAGCACACATAACATAGTCTGACTACAGTCATACAGCTGTATTCAATTAAATCTATGACAGCCTTCTTGAATTTCTTCCTGTGTTCTGCTGCCCACAATGAGCAACCACCCAATTCTGCTGCTCAATGCTAGGTCAAAGTAACCCTTCAAAGTCAATCCCTGTAATTAGACATTGCAAAGGGAGTCCGTTTTGACCAGCAGTCAGCAGTAGGCAGGTTCAAGAATCCTCCCCTCTTGCAAAGGCACCCCCTTTTCTTCCCATACCAAGGATACAAAAGGCCAAAGCTAGAAGAGTCCCGTATTCGCCACGCGACCCAAGACGCGACAGCCTTGGAGTTATAGGTGTCCATTTAGAGGAAATAGATGGTTTTGGCAGATGATTAAACCACCAGGTAAACCAGGGCCAGCTATTTTTCGACCAAAACAACCAAAAAGGACACATGACTGCCTTGGAGTGCAAACCGAGGCATCTATTGAAAACAGGCTACGTGATAGCGGGATCACAGCTCACCGCGCTCACCGCGCTCACCGCGCTCACCGCGCTCACCGCGCGTCGCTGCCACGTGCCGGGAGGAGGTCTGTGCGAAGGACACGGCCGGAACTTCCACCGGAGACTCTGAGAGGTCCGGAAGCTTCCCGTCGCCGTTGGGCCCGATCTTGGGCGCCTCACTGGGATCGAGCTGTGGGGCGCCAACAGCCAGATACTTTTTCATGGACAAAGCTGCTACACCCAACTCTTGGACTGGCTCTTGGAATCTCTAGTTGCAAGCGCACAGGCGTTTGACCCTTCCTTTCTGAGGCAACGACCGCTGAAACAAAAATCACGAGCAGCTCCAACCATGGTGCCTCACAAATCCTGCGCGCCTCATCGCTGAAGTGGTCCAAGTAGGGGAAGGGCTCCTTGGGGATCGGCTTCCCCAGGAACTTCGCCAAAGGTTCCCTTAGCTCAGCCCGCTCTGTGAAGCTGCCAGCCGGAAACCTTGCATCCAAGCAAGGCCATTTTGAAGACTGGTGTGTCTATAGATTGAAGCCATAAAAAAAAGCCTTGATCGGAACCGCGCACGACCGAAAGGAGGAAGCATCGGCGCGCTGTTGCTGTGCTTTCTCGCGGAGCAGGGGGCCATAGGCGTAGCTACGGGGCCGACTGTCGGCTCCGCACTCCTTAGACGCTTGGGATGTTGGAGATGCTGCGAGGAAGTCTTCCTGCAGCATCTCATCGGCGACCTACAACATTCTCCTTCACCAGCACAGGCAGTCCTTGGCTTGGGGTCCTCTTGGCGGGACGCGCGAAGCGCGCAGCCCCCCAGCTGGGCCGAAGATCGAAGGCGTTGAAGTCGGATCAATCGCGAATGAAACTACGGCCTTCCACGAAACGACGCCCCGAGATCCTCTTTCGGGCTTCCAGGCTTTCATGTTTGACCGGGGATATGATTCGCCACCAATAGAAACCCTGTCTGCGGACACTGTGGATCTCAAACCGGGGTCCTGCCAGGCGAAACACTTCATGCCTTTGGAGTTTTGGGCATCGGCAACACGCTTGTGATTGCTGGAAGTGAGAGAGACCCAGGCGTTTTGTGAAACGCCCCCTGTTCTAAGGAGACCAACATGTTACTTCCCCTGCAAATGCTCATACAGGCAAAAGCACGCGTTCTAGAGGCGTCTCCTTTTGGAGCAACCCTTTTCGGGTTCCATCTTCATTTGCACGGCTGCAAACATACTCCCGTCCAGTTCAAACATTGTGATCCTTCCAGTCCTGTCTGCACACCAGACGAAACACTTTTGTCAAGAATAAGGTGTGCTCTGAGTGGGTTCATTGTCTATTCGTCTCCGCTGGGTCGAAGTGGTTCCTCCCATGATTCCGTTAACGGAGCTTGACATGCCGGCACTCAGCCCCGCCACCAGCCAAGGGCAGTCACAAGGCAGTGCAAAGAGGCCCAACGCATTGCCTGCAGACCCAAAGCCGCACGCTTGGTTCAGGAAGCGAGGGCCTTCTATATGACCAAGAGTTGAGAGCATCACGCTCATTTGCAAAGCTTACAACTTTCAGAAAACCCTGCACAAAAGGCCGCACGGCGTGCCGATCGGCGTCCCGTTTCAGCGCTGGGCGCTTGCATCAATGGCCAGGCTTGCAGTTCATGTGCGAGCATGTGATTCGTGGTGCTTCAGGATCGAATTTAGGCGTGAAGCCCTATTTTTTGGGAAGGCAATGCTGATGACGTATAAGACACCTACGCCGGCGCCTACGCCATGCGCACATACCATGCGGGACGGTCTACGTCAGGTGTATGTCAGCCTTAAAACGCATGCGCGAGCCTACACGGTTGGAGTCTTAACGGAGGACTCCTCCAACATGGGCCAGTTCCCTTTGGGTTCCTTGTAAACCAGCCCCCCAAAAAAGGTGTACCAGTGTCATTCACCAGTCACCCGCCCCATTTGGCTGTGGGCCAAAAACAGGTACCCAAAATGGAACCCTTGTAAGAGGAAACATGGACTAAAAGCTGCGGTCCCTTGGTGGTTTCATTTTGACCCATACCCATTTGATTCGGATGCAGAACACCGGAGCTCTGAGCAGCTGACCAGCCGTCTGAGAGGTCAAAGGTCAGAAGCCGGTCCGCAGGGATGGCCTGTGTCTCCGAACATCTCGAGGCTTCGCACAACTCTCGGTTCGCGGTGGTTTTACTTTCAACGATTTAGAGGATTCACGTTCAACGATTTAGAGGATACGTTTCAGGATGTGACTATGACGTCTTCAGGTCCGGCCCGAAAGTCAGATGCGGATGTTTGCCTCTGGACTGAAAACTTTCAAGGCTCATGTCCAAGAAGCTTTGCCATTCAAACCTGCGGTTTTGGGCGGAAAGGGCGTTGCCCAGGGAATCAAAAAGGGTTCACGTAATCCACGAAGAACCCAAAGAACCCGGACTCACGACTCAGTGGACTGAAGCCGGTGACCAGGTTGAAGGACGTGATGATTGAGGAAGAGGTGGTTGAAGTGAAGGTTAAACAGCAAGTTGCAAAAGATCACCTTAACCAGGCCCAGGCAAGTCCTGCCGCAGCACCACCTACCTCCTAGCACCAGCCCACCCCAGCGCCGAGAGTCCTTTCTCGGCGACGCAGCGAGATGCCGTGCTATGGCGAGTGCCGTGCTACCAAAACTAACCTGACGGGAGGTTAAACTTGAGCCAAACGGCCATTCGGCCGCTTTGCCACATGATGAAACAACACGTGAACAAAACACACCCCCCTCATCCGATATCAGGACGAGAGAAAGGATGCGAGACAGTTGAGTTCACGACGAAAGGGACCAACCAAAAATGCCGGTGTCAACTCAGAGGTGAGCCAAACGGCATCACCTGGGCCCCAGTTAAAATCCCGCCACCACCCCGAATTATCGGGGCGACAGGATTATTTGACGAGTGGACCACATGAGTGAACAAAGACATATTGGAGGAACCAGACGAAGATTCCTCTCGTGCCGTTCATGAGTCGTCATGGGACGATGCCATGCGGAGGGGGATCCTATCTGGATCACCGCGCCTCACTGCACGCCGTGGAGCGGTTGGAAGAGTAGTCGAGTTGGGAGGAAATTAGAAACGGAAGTTCCGAAATTGGTGTGAAAATAACTGGCAATGGCCGGCCCGGCACTTCTAGTGCGGTCACAGCCTCACACAGGATCGCCAGGGGAACCGTCTCCGGCGCGCACGGCAGCGGTGCGGGAGGGACACGAGCAACGCCGGATCAGCGGTACAGGGCAATGGAGATCATCACCCCCAGCAGCGCTGCACGGGCGAGAGGAGGACCGGCGCGGTCGCGTTTGTCGGCGACACACGTACTATCCTCGCCCTTCTAAGGCGGATGCTGATTGCGGCACCCGTCTACCGGCGGATGCTGATTGCGGCACCCGTCTACCACCCTGAACCAGGCTCTTCCCGGTCCCTGGGCGCGTCGTCTCTTCGGCGTCCACCACGGTCACCTCGATCACCTCCTCCATCCCGACGGCGATCCTCACCACCACCCCTATTGTGGTCGCCAGCCGGAGGTCGGCGAGGCGGAGGGGGATCTGATTGGTGACGTCGGTCATCCCTGCGCCGGTCCCGGTGGCGATCGCGACGGTCATCGCCCGGGTCATCACGTCCGCGGCGCTCATCTCGCCCCGGGCCGCGCCTCTCGGAGGTCTCCTCATGACGTGGAGGAGGTCGGCGATCATCGCGTCGGCCTCCGCGGGTGTCCCTGCCACGATCATCCCTTTGTCGGGGCGGGCCGGGATCCTCACGTCCTCCTTTGCCAGGTCGATGTTTTCCTCGACCCTTCCCCTCACCCTTAGGACCACGACGATCCTCGCGGGCCCCAAGCGCGGTCCTTGACCGATCGTCATCTCGTCGGGGCCGCGACTCATCTGCCGCACGAGTGGTCCGAGGCACACCCGGGGGAAGCTCCCACTCGTCGTTGTCGTCATCACGCGGGTCATAGCCGCGATGGCCGCCCAAGGAACCGGTGGCATCCCGTGGTGGGGACGCAGGAGTTCCGGGACCGCCCGATCGAAGACGAACTCGGGGAGTCGCGTCCTCGCCGGTAAAAGGATCCTTCTGGGTGTAGAAACCCTTAGTCCTGCCCCTTCTCTCCCCACCTTCCACACCGCTTCTCGCGGGGACCGGGGATGGGCGGGCAGGCTGGGCCATGCTCTTAGAGCTGGGTTGCCCGCTAGGCGGGACCTGAACGCCCCCCTGCCCTTTTTCGGGCGCGGGGACCCGACCGCGAGATGTCCTTCTGGCCTTGGGTTGGTCGGACTCACCCTCCAGCTCGGACTCGGTGTCAGGGACACGAGTATTGATGGCCATGTCCTCTTCCTCAAACGGATCCCCAGTCGTAGTAACGCCTGCCGCAATGGGAGCGGGAGGAGGAGGAGGAGGAGTTGGCACAGCATCGCCAGAAATGACGCCTGCATGCGGCACCACGGGAGTCTCCGGTTCTACCGGGACAGGCGGCGCAGGAGGAGCCGGGGGCGGTGGCGGAGGGGGAGGGATCTCCTCCTCGTCGTCGCCCATGGGCTCGTCAAGGTCGTCAGGCTTCTCGTCATCTTCGTGCGAAGAACCATCCGATCCCAGCTCATCCTCCGCTGATCCAGCAAAGTCGGGCTCGTCTTCGTCCTTCACGCCGGGGCCTGGTGTAAGGCGAATTCCGGGTCGATGGCGATCGCGGGGTCGGAAGCGGTATTTCCTTGGTACAGGGTCGGATAGCTCCTGTTTGATGTCATCCTGGGTTTGAGGACGGTCGGCCAAGCAGGTGTCGTAGGCAACGGTGGACGTCCGGTAGATCAGATCGTCCATACTGCTGAGGTCGTTGAGGGTGTAGACATACCCCTTCTTAATGCCTTCCCGTATCGTGTCCATAGCCCGTTTGAGGCGCGCGGCAGGATCGAATCCGGCCCTTCTCCGCATGGCCTGCAATATCCCGCAGTGCTGTGCGAGCAGCCCCACCTGGAACTTGAATCCCTCCCCGGACACATCGTTGGGGAGTATCGGAGAAAGGTGTCCTGTTCTCAGCCCAATGATATGGGCCTCAAGAATGTAGTAGGACGTGTAGAAACCGCACCGGTTGGCGTTGAAGTTTGCGGTGGTTAGGCGTCTGCCCCACTCAGCCGCATATCCCTCATATTCTTCGAAGAATTCGGGGACGGAGCTCCCGTTGAAGGCCAGACCCCTTACCAGGATCGCCTTTGCTACCCACTCTTCCACGTTGTTGTCGACCGTGTCACGGTATTTGCCGTCAAGGATTTCGTCTCGGAGCGAGTCGTGAAGTTTCCGGAAAATGCCATCCACGTCCTCTTTGTCAAGGTACTTAGGAGGCCGCATCCCAGACATCAACAAGGACCGGGCATCGACGGCGGGACTCTGCGAGTAGAGGGCCATTCCGATGGCGTTGGCGTCTGAGTTGTTCCACAGAGCGGGGACGAAGCCCTCGTATTTTGCCAGCCAGGGAGGAACCAACCCGTCAGTGCTCGCTATCGTGCGAGGGCCGCCGTTCGTGTCTCCGGTGGGCAGGACGCCATCGTAGAAGATGGGAAGGTAGCAGGCGGTGCACAGGTGAGCGCCGACCGGATGGGCCGTCATGCACCTATGGCATGGAACGGACACCACCTCGCGGACATGTTCCGTCTTGGTGATCTGATGGTACTTCTCCATCTCGTCCCGACACTTCCTCGGGTTATCACTCAAGGAGTTGAGGAAGTTGGGCGGATAGCACCAAGGCCTCAGGTAAATGATGGAGCAGTCCTCCTTGAAGTAGACGCATCTCCAGTACCCGATCGCGATGTTCTCGCGCGACGCAAAGGTACCCTGACGAGTAATATGCATGCCCCCATTTTCCATGGAGAAGAAACGTGCATCGATAGCCATGACCACATATCGGGGATCGCTCCTTTGGCGTCGACCCGAGGTGTGCAGCTCCGTCACGTTGCTGTCGGTGATGCGGTCGACAGTGTCGTTGGGGCACTCTCCGTGATCGCGGAGGGATTGATACTCATCCGGCCGAGAGGGAAGGAGCTCGATCAGAGCTCGCCCACCCCGAATGATCGCCCCACGTTCTACGTAGAGCCGATACATTCGGAGAGGCACCACCTTGTAGAGCGTCTTAGGAACCACCTTGGAGGTGATAGGAAGACAAACAGGGCTCTCGTAGAGCATGTATTGGTATCGTTCACGAAATGCCCGGTAATCAGTGTCGGATCCGATTTCAAGCGACCTTACCGCCGCTATGCGGGCGGAACCAGGCAGCAACCGACGCTCCTTGTCACGAATGACGGTGATGATGATCTCGAACATTCCCACCCCATCCTCGAGAAAGGAAGACAGGAGGTATGAAGAAAAGGCATCCTCGGACTCGACGCTGGTCCCGAAGTAGTGGCTCAGGAACCTCTTCAGTTGTATCACCGAAGTAACGTTCCCTTGCCCGCTGGCAGACGAGGCCTCCAACTCTGGGTCCTTGACTGCACCTGCATTTCCAGGCTGCACAGCTGTTCCACGGAGCGCGTCGCGTATTTCCGCGCATGCTCTCCTGTAGTAGTGCGAAGAGGCGCCCGTTCTACCCTTCACCTTCTGACGGATCTCGTCGGCGAAGTAGTCCAGAAGCTCCTCGGGTGCGGGAACAATGGCCTGGATCATCAGGTCAGGATCACTCTTGGTCGGGAGGATAGGCCCTGCCCTGGATCTCACTCCCATCTCCAGGAATCGGGCAATGTCCCCGATTTTGGCGCACAGAGTAGCGATCGTGTTTCCGATCCTGGGGGCGATATCTTCGCCTCTCCTGGCGCCGAGGATGACCACGTTTTTCTTGATGGACTCCTCCTTCAGCCTCTCGAGGTTCCTCCGGGTGCCATCAGTGCCTTTCACCGCGCTGAGGCGGAGAACCGCAGGCTCCGGTTTGTCCGGTCGCACGAGCTGGCCGTCAGGAATCTGGTCGAAAATGCGCGAGGCGGACTTCACTGCTGGGACATTCCTGTACTGATCCGGCACGCTGTAAAAGGCGTAGGCGAGAGTGTCATGCGAGGATGTCTCCCAGTACGTGTACTCCTCGGAATCACGCGGGTCACCGACGACGCGACTCACGGTCCTCAGCTCGGCCAGAGCAC